AAGGGGGTCAGCAGGGAAGGGTACAGAGGGTCAGCAGCGCAGAGGACAGGGGTCAGAGGAGAAGAGGACAGGGTTAGAACTGCAACCTAGCAGCCAGCTATACACAGCAGATTGAGGCTGTGTCTGTAAGGGAATCCGATCTCAGCTATGTGCTGTGTGGGGAGGAGGAGATCTATTGACCGCCCTGTGTGTGTGGTGTGGGCAGTGCCAGAACAAGGACAACTAAGCCTCCCCATGTGTGCGCATCCTGCTTCAGCATAAATCTCTCCCGATAATAAAAAAAAAAAGAAGCATAAATTCTGTCTGCAAGCTAAAATTATCCCCAACAACAATGCAAAAATTTCCCCTCCTCCCAGTATAAACCCCCCTTCCAGCACAAAATCTTTCCCTTCCCCAATCCCCCGCCTCCAATGCCCTCAATCCATCCTCTTAGCAAAAATCACCCCTCCATGTACACATGCACTTCCCCCTCGAATTTCCCATCCTTGCACCGATCTCCCCAAAATTCTTCTTAGCATAAGTCTCCCCATCTCCCCTCCTAGCACAAAATCCCCCTTCCTAGCACAAATTCCCCCCAGTCCCCCGTCTTAGCCCAAATTCCCTCACCATCTCCTAGCACAAATCCCCCAATCCCCTTCCTAGCAAAATTTCCCCCAATCCCCCCTTCTAGCAAAAATAACCCTACCCAATCCCCCTTCTTGCACAAATCCCCACAATCGCTTCTTCAAGCAGAAATCCCCACAATCCCCCCTTCTAACACAAATCCCCCTGTTAATCCCCTACCTAGCACAAATCCCCCGCTAATCCCACCTCCCTATGACAAATTCCCCTAAACTCCTCTTAGCACAACCCCCTCCAAAGTATCCTTCCCAGCACAGATCCTCTCCCTTTCCAATCCTCCATTCCCTCTTAGCCAAAATCCCCTGCCCCCCTCTTAGCCAAAATCCCCCGCCCCCTCTTAGCACAAACAGGCACAAAAATCCCCCCCCCCCAGCCCTCTCCTGGCTCAAATCCCCCTATTCCTTCTCCTAGAAGAAATCCCCCCAACCCCCATTACTCTTTCCAGCACAAATAGCCCCCTCTCATCCCAAGCACAAAGGACTGTTTCCCCCCCACGCCTTCCCACCTATTATGTACAATTGACCTGTAAGCACCCCCACCCCCATCCTCCCAACTTACAGTCTAGATGTTTGGGCTGTGCTGTACTCTGCCCCCTCCTCCTGTCAGAACAGCTCTGTTTCATATAGCTGATGACACAGGATCCCTCCAACCATCAGACTGTACACAGTAGTTTCATTACCCGTCCCTACCCACATGTCCTGCTGCTGAGAGATGAGCAGTCCTAGGAGGAGATAATGGCAGGTACTGCTCCTCTGGGCTCTCTCTTCTGTGTCACTTTCTGGACTTTACTGCTCTAGGCTCCCTTTTCCTTGTGTCGGCTCTGAGTGTGGGGATGGGGGGGGGGGAGGAGCTCAGCAGTCTGGGGGGGGTGGGGCACAGCTGAAATCTGGGAGGCACAGCCCACCTCAGCACCCCCCAAAATCCAGCCATGGTGTATACCCTGAATCTGATGTGAAAATATGAGAAATGGCAAGAAAACATGCCGATTACAGAGACCACCTACAGTATGCTTCAGATGTTGACATCATGGATATGCATTTAGGTTCCGCAGTAAAATATCACAGTGCCAATATGAGTTTAGAAAGAGCTCAAAACAACTAAATGAGCAGGTTATACAGACCTATTTCCTTATTGATACATTTAGACAGAAAATGTATGAAATTATATAGAGTTTTGAAAGCCTTAGCCAAGGGACTGAACTTTACTGTAGCATCCTGATGTGTTCCTGTGGTAGATATCAGTTACAGAATCTTCTATTAAAAACAAGCACATGTCAATAGAAGATTCTGAACAACTGCATATGAGAGTCTCACTGGTCCTATCCAGTACCAGAGCACCCTCTTTCAACCTGACCCCACTACAAAGGAGGGTTCTTATATAGATTAGTAAGAATCTGAGCATTACCATCTTGCTTTGTGGCTACCCAGACTGGGCTTTCATTAAAACATATACAAGGTACAGAAAAAATACAAGCCCAAGCAGAGGGGAGAAAAAGAGAACCCACATAATAATATAAGCGTCCTGTATGTAGCTGAAATGTCAGAATAACTCTGAAATTCAAGCTTGCCCATGCACTGAGACAGAAGCTTGTACACCCTAAAGACCCAACACAAAAACACAAGCAAAACTTGTTATATTCAGTGCACTGTAGGAAGGAATGCAAAGACCTGTACATTAGAGAGACAAAACAAACTCAACAAATGAATAGCCCAACATAGGAGGGCTAATACTACAGGCCAAGATCTTACAATCTTCCTATACGTTTAAGAAAAAGGACATTCTTTTGAGCAGTCTGCTTCCACATATACAGTCATGGCCGAAATTGTTGGCACCCTTGATATTTCTCCAGGAAATCATGTATTTCTCACGAAACGTATTGCATTAACACATGTTTTGCTATACACATGTTTATTCCCTTTGTGTGTATTGGGACAAAACAAAAAAAGGGAGGAAAGAAAGCAAATTCGACATAATGTCACACAAACCTCCAAAAATGGGCTGGACAAAAGTATTGGCACCCTTTCACAACTGCGGATAAATAAGAATGTTACAAGCATGTGATGCTCCTGTAAACTCACCTGGGGCAAGTAACAGGTGTGGGCAATATAGAAATCACACCTGAAAGCAGATAAAAAGGAGAGACGTTCACTTAACCTTTGCATTGTGTGTCTGTCTGTGCCACACTAAGCATGGACAACAGAAAGAGGAGACGAGAACTGTCTGAGGACCTGAGAACCAAAATTGTGGCAAAATATCAACAATCTCAAGGTTACAAGTCCATCTCCAGAGAACTAGATTTGCCTTTGTCCACAGTGCGCAACATTATCAAGAAGTTTGCAACCCATGGCACTGTAGCTAATCTCCCTGGTCGTGGACGGATGAGGAAAATTGATGAAAGATTGCAACGCAGAATAGTCCGGATGGTGGATAAGCAGCCCCAAACATGTTCCAAAGACATTCAAGCTGTCCTGCAGGCTCAGGGAGCATCAGTGTCAGCGCGAACTATCCGTCGACATTTAAATGAAATGAAACGCTATGGCAGGAGACCCAGGAGGACCCCACTGCTGACACAGAGACATAAAAAAAAGCAAGACTACAGTTTGCCAAAATGTACTTGAGTAAGCCAAAAGCCTTCTGGGAAAACGTCTTGTGGACAGATGAGACCAAGATAGAGCTTTTCGGTCGTAAAGCACATCATTCTACTGTTTACCGAAAACGGAATGAGGCCTACAAAGAACAAAACACAGTACCTACGGTAAAATATGGTGGAGGTTCAATGATGTTTTGGGGTTGTTTTGCTGCCTCTGGCACTGGGTGCCTTGACTGTGTGCAAGGCATCATGAAATCTGAGGATTACCAAAGGATTTTGGGTCGCACTGTAGGGCCCAGTGTCAGAAAGCTGGGTTTGCGTCCAAGATCCTGGGTCTTCCAGCAGGACAATGACCCCAAACATACGTCAAAAAGCACTCAGAAATGGATGGCAAAGAAGCGCTGGAGAGTTCTGAAGTGGCCAGCAATGAGCCCAGATCTAAATCCCATTGAACACCTGTGGAGAGATCTTAAAATTGCTGTTGGGAAAAGGTGTCCTTCCAATAAGAGAGACCTGGAGCTGTTTGCAAAGGAAGAGTGGTCCAAAATTCCGGGTGAGAGGTGTCAGAAGCTTATTGATGGTTATAGGAAGCGACTGATTTCAGTTATGTTTTCCAAAGGGTGTGCAACCAAATATTAAGTTAAGGGTGCCAATACTTTTGTCCAGCCCATTTTTGGGGTTTTGTGTGACATTATGTCATATTTGCTTTTCTGCCTCTGTTTTATATTTGTTCCAATACATACAAAGGGAATAAACATGTGTATAGCAAAACATGTGTTAATGCAATACCTTTTTTGTGTGAAATACTTGATTTTCAGGAAAAATATCAAGGGTGCCAACAATTTCGGCCATGACTGTATATTGCGGCTATAACAGCTCTACCTCAGTGATTGTAAAACAAATCATACCTTTAATATTACAAGAAATTAACACCTATGTAGACTTCCTGACACAGACGATGGAATTATTTACTATATTTATATTATTTATTTATCATGTTCTTGGAAAATGTACCTATTCCATGGTAATTAGATTAAAGTGGTAGTAAACTCTTTGGGGGGAATCTTTTCCCTGCAAGGTAATATCATAATGTGCTAGTATATGTACCGCATACTAGCACATTATGAAAAACTTACCTAAAAATAAAGCCCTCCAGTAGCATGCTGTCACTTCTGTCAGGACTTCTATCTTCACCCATCTTCTTCCTTCTGGGTTTTGTGTGCTCTGGCCACTTAAATGGCCAAACTGCGATGATGTCACTCCTTCGCATGTGCACAGGAGTCAGTTTACGGCACAGAGCTCTGAAGGGACCCTCAGAGTGCATGCGCTGGTGACATCACCGGCTTCATCCAGTGTGAATATCTCCTAAATACTGCACGTTTAGGAGATATTCACTGTACCTACAGGTAAGCTTTACTATAAGCTTTCCTGTAGTTACAAATGGCCAAATGGAGTTCACTGCCACGTTATGTGTCTGTGCTACCTGTGTAGGTATACTGTAAATACTGGGGTATATACCAGACACTCATTGGAACAGAAGAAATGGCTTGGAGAAGCTACAAAAAATCTTTAACATTACAGAACAAGTCTAAAATATGAATAACTACTACTAGCTACATGTGGTATATAATAAATTGGATTAATAAGATCCTTCACAGACATACCTCATACATCAATAGCAAAAAAACGTGACTAAAATATCTATTAGGAAAAATGATTAATTTTATACTGCTAGAAAAACAACTTTTTGTACTAGGTTTTATTCAAAGTGCAGGTCTTTACAGCTTACCTCCCGGACCATTAAAGTTCCTTCTCTTGAGATGCTTCTAAATGTCTCAGATTGGGAAGTTTCAAGACCCTGTGTCCCTGTATTATATGGCTCATTGTTTCCCGATCCACCTGTTGGTCTACATATAAGCAACAATATAAGGAGTCACATTCACTGAAACATCTGGTTGTACAATGGCCAACATCAAGAGCACAGCACAAACGTAAAGTTTAAAGGCAATATAGTAGTAGTAGCACAGCAGCTTTAGTGAGAAAAATAAAGAAGCATTATAAAAAAGCTTTTAATTTTTTTTTGGATAGAAAAAAGAAGGGTTACACATTTTGTCAGGCTTTTATGCTGCCTTCATTTAATTTTCTGTGGCAGTGACACAGGTGTCATTCAGAGAGGATAACGCAGAAAGCAATAAAAAATTTATTATAAATGTTTTTGCTGGAAACTCCTAATTGGAGAAACTTCTCATAACCTCCCATTCCTATAACCGCATGTCATCATAAAATGATTTGATTTACTTGAATATGGATATATAGTATACAGTAATGAAAACTGAAATAGGTTCTAACCTTTCTCTACTCAATCCAATACAGCAAAAAAACCCAATTCCACTTCTCTTCTTATATCTCTCTGTGTTTCCAGTGGTGGCTTCTCCTTTCCAGTGTATCTAGCCAAGACTACCTCAACTATGAAATCTTGCGTCATCTCCTGCATTGACAGGAGTCCTAATCCTTCTCCACCATTCTCTGTACTGTAACCTAAATGACAGGGCAAACAATCAGAGCAAGCCCTTGTGTAATGGACACAGTAGTCAGATGGAGCTCTTAGGTTAAAACACCACAGCTATTTAGTTTCTGGGATATAAAAGAATCCAGTGGGCGATATAAACTGACAACATTTACCCGTAACCTACATAAGTGTTCTCTATTATTTGTACATGACACAATATTAACACAACAAATATAGGATCCCTTGAGAGTACAAATGCAGTGAAGCATACAGATGGTAATGAAGTTTCATTATTGGAAAATTGCTACTACCAGAATGCTAATCTAATCACCTGTAGCATCTCTGCGATAACAAAAGCTTTGATGCTAAGTACGCAAATGAGAGCACATATACCTGTACTGACTAGGGACTTTGGTTGAAAATGTATGAAAACTTACATATCAGTGGGGTTTATTTACTAAAGCTGGAGTGTGCAAAATTAGGCTCACTTCTGCATAGAAACCAAACAGCTTCCAGGTTTTATTGCCAAAGCCTAACTGAACAAGCTGAGGTTAGAAGCTGATTGGTTTCTATGCAGAAGTGAGCCTGCTTTTGCACTATCCAGCTTTACTAAATAAACCCCAGTGTGTTCTCACAAAGAAATGGTGGACACTTTTCCACAACTATCAAACAGATTCAAACTTTCAAACATGTCTGAGAAGTAGTAATTACAGTTTTTAGTTAAAGGAGATGTATGGCAAAAGCTCTTCTGGCCATACTTGCCCTGTGGGTCAGAGGAGGGCACTTAGTTCTGCACTCCTGTGATCCAGATTCAGCCAATAGATGGGATAAAGCTCACTGTTGGATGCTGTCAGAGCCAGTGCAGGCTTTGCAGGAATCCCAACTAAAATGTTGGGATCTGCCCAGACGCCTGACTGGCACCTGGCTGAAGCCTTTCAGCACCCCAACACTTTTCCCCCTTCCCAGCCCAGTGCTCTAGTGAGAACTGGAAAGGCAGAGGAGAGAGCTGGTGACTGATAGTCACTGCTCTCTGCTCACCAAGGACCAAGAACTGAGCAATCAGTGTTCCTTGATCGCTCGGTTCTCAGTGTAGAGCCCGAGGGGGATAGGTGCTGCAGTCATCTAGGAGAGTATAAATATGTGTTGCTTTTGGATCCCACACTTCTTTTAAAAACATATCAATATATAAAGTGAAATATGAGTGTAATGATTTAAGGTGGGGGGGTCTCCCAACTTTCTAATCAAAGGTCCAGTTTACAGTTGTTCAGAATTTAGGAGGGCCAGTGGGAGTAGAAAATGTAGAATAGTGGCTCATCATTGGTGTCAGTAGAACGAATAGTGCCCAACTGCTGGTGTCATTGAAAGCCATTGTTGGTGTCAGTGTAGGAATTATTGCCCTGCCGTTGCTGTCAGTGGGAGGAATAGTGCCTCATATCAGTGGAAAGAATAGTGCCCCTGGTCCGCAGTTTGAAGACCACTGATTTAAGGCATCTGTTGCTCTTTAATATATTAATACTGAAAGACAAACATGTCACTACACTGATGCAGCTCTTACATGAGTCTGGGGATGTCGCTAACTGGCACAGTTCCATCCTGGTTCTCACTCTCACCATCTTCTTCCTCACTGCTCTCAGATTCCTCACTAGATGAGGAGTAGTCAGTCACTTTCTTTATCGGCCGGTTTGTCTCTTCGATACGCAATTCTCTCAACTCTTTCGCCAAGGCAGTCAGGTCCTGAAAAACAATTTTTGCTATAATTCACTTAAGCCATGAAACAGATGTGTGTAAAATGGGCCAACTCCTTGTCTTAATGTTCACTTGCACTAAACTCAGTGAGAAAGTAGCTGAGCAATGCAGTTACACACCCATTTAAACAGACAATGTTTGAAGCAAAAAAGAACATCACGAGCCAGTCTTACTGACAGACGCAATTTCAACCATTATGTGCCTGGTGCGCAGAACAGATGGATACACTTTCTGTGAAAACTAGAAATTCCTGTCATAGTTAGCTGGAAAATATTTTCCTCTTTCTATATAAGTCCAAGACAATTCACATTTTGAGCTACATACAATCTGTGGTAAATGCATATTTTATTACAATCTAACATTGAATTAGAGTACAACAAGAAAAGAGCATTTTCTCAGCTTACTATGAATTTGACATGATAATAAGACAGCACTGTTTTTATTTTTAACTGTAACATCACAGCCAGCAAGTCTAAGATACAGTCAGTGTATCTAGGTCATGCTTTTAAAGCAATGTAGGTGAGGTAGTGGTAAAGCATGAAGAATCTGCAGAAGATGAGTTGGTTTGTTCTGTGGAAGAAAACAAAACATGCACATGACGAACAAAGCATTGGCCTTACCATTTCCCCCTATATTAGAGACCAATGTAGCCGTCAATGCAATCATAAACAAAGGTTTCAAGGAAAACAAATTATTAAACATTACCAAATTCAATAAGTGTCACCATTTATTTATTTTCGAACAGCCCTACTGTCTGGCTCTAAAAGGAATTGAAGCATAATCTTATGGGCTACATCTTGCAAAGTGAATGTCCTGGGCTGAAATAGTAATCATAATCTATCATATTTGACGCAAGATCACAGTTATAGAGCAGATTAATACAAAACACAGATTTTGCACTTACTGAATTAATGCTGCTGCTGTTGAGTAATCAACAGGAGAAAGGCAGCTAATTGGATTCCTAGGGCTTAAATCTCTGAATCTATGGCTGAAAGCTGCATAGATTTGGAAGATCTCACCACGCTCTTTACCTGGATTCTGAAGATAATTATGCACAATACCCTTTTTTTAGAGTAACATTAATCAGGACACTGACATACATGCAAAAGCATGCAACTTTATCTCATTTTGTGACTGATATATCTTTGCTTATGTCTAACCAAGTAAATAAATTTAAATTAAATTATAAAGTTGGCCATACAGTGGTATATTTTCGTACGAATAATAATACGTAAAATGTGGTCAGTGCATTTGATAAAGCCAGCAGAGACTTGAAAAATGTAATTTGAAAGTACTTCAAAATGTAATTTGCTTTTAACATTTGTTTTACTAGGAATGGAATTTCCTGGAAGAAAAACACATACAATGTAAGAAATTTGCTCATATGAGAAAAGGTTTCCTTCCTGGTTCTTTGTATTTTCTCATTACTCGGTTGAAAATGATCATCAATTTGACCTAACAAGTCAAAAATCAAACAAAGGGTCCAAAAATTTATATTTTTTAACAAACTTCTACTAGTGTATGGCCACCATAAGGATATGTTCTAGTCCCATATTAGAAATCAAAACCTTATTGTTTTATACAACTTCTATTTCTAAGTCTAATATTTATGTTTAAGGATCAATAACCAGAACTGATACTTTATGTTTTGGATGTCAGTGGTTTGAGTCTGCCAGCATTTTAGCTCTCTCTCTGGGACTTTATCCATGAGATCTAATACCTGCCACGGCCAATATTAGGGTTCTTATTACTGCTGTATTGCATGTTTATTTTAAAGTGTGGAAAATACAGCAGGAGGAATTAAGCTCCTTCTGAAGTAAGAGGAACAGAAAGACTCCATGTCAAAGTTAGAAACTGTGATAGAGGATCTCTTTGCTGAGGCTTCAAGACATATGAAGACAGTGAAACTAAAATATCACTTTTAGGTATACTAATCTTTAAACCAAACAAACACTTACATACTAAAACCTTAATCTGCATTAAATATAGAGGGTTGAAGTTACGCATTAAAGTATAGGTTATTGCTACATGATTGTAATCGTTCTATCTATTCTAATCTATTTGACCATTTCTACCCAAACTACAATATACTGTATGTGGTTAAACTATGCATCCATAAACAGGAAAAAATAAATAAAAAATACTTAGAATCCAACAGTAACTGATATAAATTCACGTCATCCACTACTTTTGACTATACAAATCAAATTGTCACGTAAAATGTTAAAAATTCAAATACAAATCTGAGTAATTTGAACACTATTGTAAAAAAAAAAACCCTGCACATATGGCAGGTCTCATCAAGAACAGGTCAAAATATTGCTACACATGCAAACTACTACCACAGTGGCATTACTAGTTTAGACTATTGCCACTAAGCATAACTGTCAAAGAAGTAGAATAATAATCAAGCCAACTGTACTGTCCACCCTAGAATGGATCTAATGATTCTGCTGGTAGACAGACCAAACTAATGTGCAAGGAAATCTATTACAAGGATTTTATAGAAACCAGATTATACCCTCTCTTAATTTTACCCAGAGTTGTCTATTAGTTTTATTTTGGGTGAAGGGTAATGGGGGACTATGCATCTATCCAAATACACATCTGCATGTTATCATTCCACAATATTTTTGTAGCAGATTACATATCACGGTTTCTCTATGTTGCTAAGCATGTAGCAATGGATCCTTCTATCTGTATGGAACATTACATTCAACTTCATTGTTCTGTGTTGGGTAAAGCAAATCCTACATACTGTATCTCAAAGACCTATACTATGAGTAGGAAACAATGTCCGATAAAAGGCAAGAAAGATTTTCTTACCGTCTTATTTTTAGTTTTCACCCTCCGCGGCATGATCTTTCCATCATCCGCGGGCATTGCCTGTGTGATAACAGCCTGTAGAGAAGTATCAAGTGGGGACATCAGGAAACTTGGGAATATTATTTCTGTCCCGAGTTTCTGACTAACCCGAAACAAGCACAAGAAATACACATTTTTTCTTTATCATACAAATGAAACATCCACGGATAAAAATAAGGTGGTATATATAAACTAGTACATTGAATCAATGGGCAAGGCACATCATCTTGTATTCGGCATAACGAAAATAGACATACTGTACCTCCCAGACATGCAATAATCTAATAACAATTGATACACATGAACATCAAGAAAACCATGTATGGTTGATTCTGGCTGATGCTTGTAAAATTCATGATAACATTCACATGACAAGTTAAAGTTCAATATTTCACAATTTCTGGTGGCCATGCCTCACCAAATTTGTGCACTGCAAGATGTATAACTGAAGATGGTACAGTGTAATTTAAGGGCTGCAATTTAGAGCTTGGTTAGCCAGGTTGAAAATGGTTAGCATGTTCCATTTTGTTATTCCTTGATAGATTTCAGGAAGACTACAAAGTGACCTGCCATCAAAAGGTAATAGTGTACCATTTACAAAAATGTGCAAACAATCTCATTGATAAACAAAGTTTGTAATATTTCAGATGATTTATCTTTCCAGGATAAGGAAGACCTGAGTAAAAAAAAAAAAGTGGGCACTGCATGTAGCAGGCAGTGTGGAGAGTCTTCATTTATGTGTTATAGGGTTGGCTTTAGTATGTGTTACATAAAATTATATCACAGCAGATCATTTGATAATAAGCAATCTTGCATATACAGATATCCTTAGCATCTAGTAAAATGTAATCTAAATCTTGCTGGATGAGATAGGTCTATCAGGATTCCAGAAGTGAATTAGAATTTTAGCAAATAAACTAGGCCACTCAATAAATAATTCAATATGTTTGGTAGACACAGAGCTTTGGTAAGCTGCTGCCAGGCTATCAACTTTACATGGTCTCCTGGATTTTCATCCCTGTAATATAATTTCTCAGGTTAGGAGTAAAATGATTGTGCGAAAGGAGGACAGATCACCACTTTCCTGGATTCTGTGACTGCATTATAAGTTACATGAAGAGGAAAGATGACATGATGATAATGCAAACTGAATTAGATTTGGAGCTACCTTGGGTGATGTTTTTAATATACTGCATGAAACAATACAGGGTTGCACTGGCTCAGATATCACATTTTGAGCATTTTCATGGAACGATTATATAAAAATGTCTAGTACATATTTGCTTGTTGGTGATTTTTTTCCTTTGGGCCACGTGTTGTCCATCCATGAGTACGCACAGTAGACCTATACGATTATGAGGCTGTCAGCTTCCACACTAATTTTAATGTTTTTCTCTTCTTTGTCAAACTTCTTTTTTGTTTAATAGAAATTCAGTTTTGTATACCAAATAAGACTGGATTATAGAGACTATTTTTACCTTCGGTTGAACATTTCCAGAATTACTGTTCTCCTTAGTTGCAAGGGATTCAAAATATAGTAAATTTTTACAAAAACTCAGCAACCTCACACACAGCATGTCTGGATTTCAGTTTAGCAGAAATCATAAAAAGCAATACAATAAAAAAAGACACACAAACATAGACAATTCCCCTGCAACTAAAACAAACAACAGCACATCTATATAGAATGACAGAGCAGCGGCCAGCACCATGGAAAACTACTGAAGTATATGGATACATACAGAGGAGGGAAGAGATGACATGCAGCGTCTGCTATAGCTGCTTTCATCACCTTCATCCTTTTTAATAATTTAAATTGAATGAAAGGGATGAGGAAACACATGTACTAGCAAGCTAAACTTCCAGCCACAGAAGTACAGTCCATTTGTTTCTCATCGCAGAGAATTACCAGCCACATGACAAAACACTGGAATGAAATAGCTTAGCACTGAACAAACCATGAATTGGTTACCAGTACGTGATTTAGATGGAGAATTGTGAGTTTGAAATGAGAGTGCCGGATTTTCTGGTAACGACTGCATATAAAGTCTAGGGTAAATGTTACATTGTATACTTTAAAATATCACTAACCTCATCTATTGCTTTCTTATAGCTCTGAGCAAGGGAAAGACAATCAGCATCGGAGAAAGCAGAGCAGGTCAAGAGTAAGCCACAGGGAAGGAAGCAGGTAAGAAATACAAGTGTTAGTTTGGTGCTTACCAAGCTCGGTATATGGGCAATACACAGCCACATGCTTGCACAGAGTATGTAAGACATAGTGCGCAATAAGTGCAACATTACTGACATAGAACGTAGATGCTGTCTATATTAGCAGATAATGCTGCTCCCCACTCTTTCATTCACTACAGAAGACATATATGTAAATATAAATCCTATGATTTATTATATTAGTATCTAATTCATATTAAATCATTCTATGACATCCAAATAGCCATGAATGACCTGCTAGCCAAGACTACACTGCACCCAGGCACACTTTATGCAATATCATACTGTGCTATCCCAATGAAAGATTGTAAGATTTCATTCTCACGGCATAACAAAAAAGAAACTGTGCTAGAGCTTGAGTTAGTTATTGGACAATGATGTAACACAAGCACAAATGTTATTATAGGGTCATCTACAAAGCCTATTTAAAGCATTAGTTTCAAGCATAATCATATTTAGAAAGATTAGATAATGAAAATGTTAGAGTGAAAAAATGTTTGTTAAAACAATTTAGCCAGAGGAATAAAAATGAGTTTTCCAACTTAAACAATTGGTATTTTTTTCAACCTAAGCAAACATAAGATGTTTTGTGACTTTTGCTACTATGGTAATATTATTATTTAAGAGTTAGCTCCCTTTTTTTGGTATGCTAGGCCATACAGGGTGATTGCTTCAATCACATGCTTGTCCAGGCTCAATACTGCATGTTTGCTAAACGTACCGTAAAAGAGAAGTACAATGCAGTTTTAGTGAGCACTAATTTGGGTCATGACTCACATTTTACAATCTCATGCTTCCATATTTTGGCCACAGTATTAAAAAATGTGAAGATTTGCTCCTAGGGGGAGCTCTCAGCAGTCCAGCGCAATTACTGCTGAAATAGTACCTCCTTAGGTCACATTGTTTTTCTAATAATTTGGCAGACTCCTAGACTTTCATTGTGAGAAGGAACAGTAATGCTGAACTATTGTGCAGCATTGCAAAGCAGGGAAAAAAAAGCCTGAATGTATGATGATTAAACGTGGCTGCCATCACAAACATATGTAATTACAAAATAAAAAAAGAAACAATGAGGTTTAAAGTAGTAACATTTATTGATGAGAATAATAACTTTAAGCTGATCTAAACTTGCAGATGATTGATACTGCCTACTCTTAGTCCATTTTGGCTTTTTACTAGGATTCTTTGCTCATCTATTTTAACTCTTCAAATATCTACAAAATGTAATGGAACTTCAGTTCAGATTTCTTAAAATTTCAGTTACAATGCCACATTAGATTATTGCTTAACTCATTAGTGACCTGTACAATAAACACACAGTCTTTACTATACCCACTAGAATACCATCTGATAATGTTGTTACACATTTGGATAAACTAGATACCTTAACTGATCATTATCTAAAGTGGACATAGACTCAGGCAACCTTATCTTACAAACAGTGTTACATAAGTCAGGTGTAATTGAAATAGCACTTGCATCTGGCATTCTGCAGCTGCTATTTTGCTAGGCCCACTTTTTCCTCTGCACTTCATTCTTGTTGAAAACTTTCATTTTGTTTCTGGACTTCACCACTGATGCCACTGTAACCCAGTAACTAGAAATAACAGTGGCCAGGGCATGTCTATCAAACTCCTGATAGGCTCCTGTGAGGCTAGAAGAGAATGCCTGGGCATTGTCATGTGTTACAAAGTATTCTGCTTCTTATTAGAAATGCTATGCTAAAAGTTCATGCTTTCACTAATCTGCTTTTCAGACATTAAACAGTGCTAATGACAGCCAAACTTTACATTATAGGCATATACCCACTTTATGTTCATAAATTATGCACAAGAACTGTACATGAGTCACATAGCCGTGTAACCCATTATGAGACCAATGTGTATACTTAGAATTGAAAAGTACAATAATTATGAAAGTGTCCCATGTCATGGAAGAGAAATTTGGTGGCCAGTTTACTGCATAATAAAAGTATGCTTATTACAAGTTTATGGCACTGTAATACTCACTCACACTAATGCAATGTATTTTTATAACTATTGGCACATGTTGGTTAAAATAACCTGGGTTAGAGAAACAAATCACTGATTAATCACAAGGTCCGCTTATAATGTCTAGACCTCCCCTCCTGTAAAAAACAAACAAAACAAAAAAACCTGTAAAATAAATAAATAAATAAATAAATATATATATATATATATATATACACAGTATATACACCATTTGAAAGAATGTGCAAAAGGTACCTGTAAAGCAACATGTAGCCCATCTGCCACCTGTATGCTCCTTCCAGGGAGATCCTGGGGTATACACACCAGCCCAAATTTTGCAAGAAGACACTTTTGTAATGGACTGGAATGTCTTCTCATGAGATTTGGCCTGCTCTGCATTCCCCAGGAGTCTTCCTTGAAGGATGGTGACATCACGCCCAGTGATGCTGAAAATAGGGGTAAGGTAATCAAATTCTTTATCTTTCTTCTTGACAACAACTTTTGCACAAACTTTCAGCAGGTGATTTCTATAGGGGGGAGGGACCCAGACGTTAGAAAATCTTGACTTTAATATTCAAAAGCTTTTTCTAATTACATTTATGGGCCTTTCTGATGTTAAGCAAGAACCACTAAAAAGACTAAAACGTAAACATTTTTCTTGCAAAAGGCTAATGATCCATTATTTGGAACATTCAAACTAAAATTTTCCTAAAAAAACAATTACTTTCATCACTTATTACTGAGGCTAAATTAAACTAATTGTATCTGATACCATTTTTAGCCCCTCCTACTGTGTGTAACAATAAGTGCCTAAAGAATAACTCCACTTTTGTTGAAAAAACACCCAAATCCCAACTGGGTAATCTATGTACTTTGCAGGAAATTAAAAAAACTTTGTTGCAGATTCCTACCTGTTTCTGTTCTGAAGAAAAAGCTGTTTGTGACTTTTTCATTATCAATCAGCTGATACACTTACAGAGTTCTAATGAGGAAAAGGCAGACTCTGAATCTGTTTAGAAGTGAATAATCCTTTGGGAATATCTCACCAAAAATTAATTTTCTGTTGCAGAGGATGCCTAAAATCTGACTTGTATTGTAGTGCGTATTTCTAGGAAAATCAGTGAGCCAATCACACAAGCAGAAAAAAAACCTTTCTGGAGGCAACACCTCCAGGTTGCTATATTGCATTGAATTTTACAGTGCTGCACATTGAGAAGGAAAGCTCATTTTTAATAAGGTAATTCAATTACAATATAGTTTGTTTAGCAATTATATATGCTATATTTTTTATTTACAATTTTTTCCACAAAAGTGGAGGTACCTTTTAACATTTCTAACTGCACAGACCTACAATGGTAGTCTATAGTGACACAAAGCACAGGCAGATTTCAGGCTCCTTAACTCACGGCCCTGTCATGAGTTAAATATCACTTAGTAAAAGGTAAGGTATGATGAAGAACACTGTTCATTGTCGAGATAAGTAAAAATTGTAATTTGTAACATATGGAACTGCAATACCTTAATAAGAAGAACATTGTGGGATAAAATCTGTGACAAACATTTTATAAGATTAAGCAGTAAATACAGCTTGCAACACTAAATTGACCAAACTGAAGCTATCAAGGGTGAATAAACAGAGTTAGAAATTTCATTCACCGTACAATCTTTTACAATGCAGGGTTTCAAATGTGCATTCTCCAAAGTCAGTCATTAAAAAAGTCAGTTTTCAAATTATAACAACATTAAAACTTATTTATTAATATAAATTAAAATTAGAGAACATACAGTATCTTATGCATCTAACGTGCGCAACATATTTGTATGGTGTGCATAAAATGAATATAAATAAAAACATTATTATTAAAGGGTTAGGCTTCCATAAACTAACGGAGTTGCTTGTACAGTCTGCAGAGTTTTATCTCTTGGCAATCTTTGGTGGTGACATCTGTGCGTAGGTCAGCACACTTTTCGCCGCCAATAGGTACCACTCTCACTGTCCTATTTCTTTATGTGTTTTATATTTTTAACATATACAGGAAGAGGAAAGGATCATCCACAGCATTGATATGGTTGGGAAAAAGCCAGAACTATGGCTAAGATGTCCTCTAGCGATAATGTACTCCCAGATTTAAAAAAAAGTATTAAAGCTGAACTCTGGAAAGTTTAAAAAAAAAAAAAGAACACCCTTAGGCTACACGTACAAGGAATTGCCATAGACATAATCTCTACTGTCAGCAGAAAGCCGCTAAACACGGCACAAACGTGTGTAAAAGTGGTACCACATTTAATGCTTGGACATTTATTCATTTCATTGTCTAGAGTACTTGACATTAAAATTAATAAATGCCTAAGCGCTAAGGCGTATTTACACGCATTTTTGACGTGCTTGGCCACAATGATCCGCTCCTGAATGCGATTCTTCTGCATTCATTAGAGGGATGTTTAACTGCCCTTAAACTCTGCTGCTCCTAAACTCTGCTAAAAGCCTATGTATTCAAGGACAGTTCAGAGGCTATGGCAAAAAAAACAAAAGCTTCAGGTTTAGGAGCAGAAGTGTACATGAGGCATTAGGGCTCATGTACACAGGACGTTTGGAGAACACTTCTGAATGCTGGAAACTGACAGCAGGAAACCGCTCAGTTAAAAAACGTCCATTTTGCAGCGTTTGCATACCGCGTTTATGTGCGTTTGCGTTTAGAAACATTTTTTAAAGATAAGCACAGGAGAACCTCCCAAATGCCCAGAATGCACTGAAAAGTGGTAAGTTATTAACTATTTCAGACTGTTACATGTTTTGACATTAGCTAGGTGTGAGTCGCTCATTAACATTTCTTTTGTTTCCAAGGGTGGGAAAGGTGTCTGGTGGAGTGAGTTATTAAAGCCACCTGGCAGGGGGTCTTCATGAGGAATTTGAGGTGTGAATGAGCATTAACATATCTTTTGTTTCCAAGAGTGGGAGAAGGCTGAGGTGTGAATTGGTCATTCCAATGTGTAACAAGCTTGCTCAGAACATTCTATGACAGTGTTTTGTCCATCTGAGCACCTTGAAAATGCTTTGCATGCATTTTTCATGATGAAAAAAGGTTCTGGACAGCATCGGGAACTGGAAGAGTTAAAAAACATTTTCAAATGCAAACGCTTATAAACGCGATTTGCCACGCTTAGATGCATTTAGCCGCGTTTACAAGCGTTTTGCGTTTGAAACGCTGATAAAATCCACATCTGCACGCAAGTTTGTAAACTCAACTGCCTGTAAACGATTGTAAATGAAGATGTGTACAAGGACACATAGGAAAACATTAGGGTGAGTTCAGGGGCTGCTGAAAAAAATGCTGAACAGCTCCTAAACTTGAGTTTATCAGGTGCAACTCCTCAATGGAGCGCCAAAGAGAGGCTATTTTGGGAGACCAGACACACAGCATGGTGGAAACCTGCCCAAGCAAGAAATAAGGTAAGTATTACAGCCCATTCCACCACCTCCTTAGACTTAACAAGCAATTAACCCTTAAACTGCAAGGAAGCCCACTGCAAAGGTAATTTTTTTTCTGCTGCCCAGAGTGGGGCTTTAAGATTAGCAGTACAAGATATTATGGATGAAAAGGTTTTGTAATTTATTGTAGAAATGAAAAAGCTTAGATTAAATGGTAAATTCCTAAAGATCAAAACAACAGATATGTAGCTGGAGAAATCCAGACTTGCATGATTATGTCACTATTGAAATCTAGAGTTTTCCTCTAACCTTAACCTTCTCCTTAACCTTAACCTTAAAGTCTGCTCATAAGCTGTTCTTTTGAGATGCCTGTGTACCTGTAACAAGCTTGTAACCTCAGCAAGCAGCCATTCTCATCCTCTAATACTATGAAAACTAGCATTACCACTCTTTTAAACTCCCCTACATATTAATTATACCTGTTCATATCCTCGTACCTTGCTTAACTAATACCCCTGTATCCTGGGCTTGCTCATCAGGATCCTCTACTCATATGAGCTGCCCTAAGTGTAAGAAATGTAATACTGCGGTCAGATTTGTATTAATATGAGATGTCTATTTCCGCCAACTAAGAGTGTGACAATCTCTGATACCATCTGATTAATATACAACTGATGACCATTATTGTTTCTATGGCTATTCCTTTCATACAGGGGTTTGCATACCATTTTTGTACTAATAGTTCGCTTAATGTGAACTATATAGATAGAAACATAGAAGCTGCTATTGCAGAATTATACATTAAAAAGGTGTCACTGCCTATATTCCAATTTTCACAAGTTCCGATCTAGGAAGAGCTGCTGTTAAATCTTATGTCTCCAGTTGTGTTCTGTATATATCTACCATATCCCCTATTGTTAAAAGCTATAGTATATATTTATAAGAATAAATATTGATGTTTACAATGATGCAACATTTACAGCTGAATAAACAACACAAAAAGAAAAGTCTAAGGCCCCTTTCACATGGGCAGACCAATCGGGTCCATCTGTCAGTTTTTTTAGGTGGACCTGATCGAACCCTCCATTATCCTGAATCGAGTGGCGGATGTAAATGGACTTGTGTCTGTTTACACCCACCTACATCCAATCCGATCCGCTAAAAAGAGACAGATGGGGATTCATTCCTCATGCTTCTAGTGGAATAGATCGGATGGCAGTTGGGTGTAAATGGGCAGGTGGTCTGTTTACATCTGAGCACCCATAACCACCTCTGCATAACTGGAGCAGACACAGACCAGACATTCACTTGTTAAGTGGTGATTAGTGGACAGATTCCCTACTAAGCAAGCGGACTCCTGGTGGAAGGGGCCTAAAAGTTAATCTATCAATTACACATGATTACGTACAGTGGTGAGGATGCTATAGTGGTTGGAAAGGATTATGACAGCACACACAGAGCAGAAAAGATTTACTAAACTTACAGCTGGTCTACTTGGCCGCGTCATATTATCTTCAGTTTTCACATTAGGCCCATCGTGTGGTAGCACCGGAGATCCTTCAGGTTTATTATTACCTGCTAAAACACATAAAAGTACATACAATTTATTCGCACAGGTAACGTTTATAACATGTGCTACACATAAATGTGAATAAGCTATTATCCTAAAATCTGCAACCAGGAAGAAAGGTCACGCTTTTTGGCTTTTGTATGCAGAAATATGTATGCAGACTGTGAGAAATTATTACATATCTTTAAAAATCTGCACTAGAAGATTCTTCTGGAATTTCTTTTGGTTTTCTTTTTTAATTAACTACACTGATTCAGTAAGACAGCTAAACGAATTACATTATCTTCTGTCTGGTCTGGCCATTTCAACTGGTATACCTATGACTGTATTAGGATCACAAGGTACATATTTTATGTCAATTATTATTCTTGTTTTCAAGACATACTTCAGTTGAATTTCTCTTTTCTCCTTACTTTATCAATAGTTCACATTTGTGAAACTGAGAGGATGATTTGAAGAGGTAGGTTGCATGATTTAGGTTACTAGAAAGTTGAAAATAAATTACTTTACTTGCATTTGTTAGTAACAAATTCAAATACACAGATTCTTATTCTTCCCTATTCTATATGAAATAAAAAATATATATATATATGTCATGGCTAAAATGTTGGCACCCCAGCATTCTCATGTGTATTTCTTTTGTTTGTAGTGGTATGACACAAAACAGTGGAGAAACAAAAAGCACACAAAACTCCAAAATGGACTGGACAAAATTATTTACACCCTCAATTTAATATTTGATAGCACACTCCTTGGAAAAAATAACTGAAATCAATAGCTTCCTGTAACCATAAATGAGTTTCTTACACCTCTCTACTGGAATTTTGGACCACTCTTCTTTCACCAACTGCTCCAGGTCTCTCAGATTGAAAGGGTTCCTTTTCCCAACTGCTGTTTTAAGATCTCTCCATCGGTGCTCAATAGGATTGAGATCTGAATTCATTGCTGGCTAGTTCAGTATTCTGCAGCACTTTGTCTGAAACCATTGCTGGGTGCTTTTTGATGTGAGCTTTAAGTCATTGTTCCGCAGTTCCAACCCAGAATTCTAGAGTAGTCTTCAGATTTCATAATGCCTTGCACACTGTCAAGACATCCTGTGCCTGAAGCAGCAAAGCAACTCCAAAATATCAGTGAACTTCCACCATGTTTGACTGTAGGAACTTTAATGATTGTGCGCAATAAGGACATGGAAGCTGTAGGCAACAGCTATCTTGTTAAGGTCTCAGCCATTTTCCTCCTCCTGCAAACTATGGAATTTGTAGCCATAACTTTTAACAAACTTCAAAAGTTATCTCAGTCAGGGACAACAGAACACAGCAAACAGACCTGGTCACAGCTGTAAAACATTAATTGAGGTCTGCAGGATGTCTCTTTCCATGAACCATGAAAAAGTCTTCCCTCTGACCTATCATTAAACAATAATAACTCAGTCAAGCCTGTCACACATAACGTGTAAGGCCATTAAAACTCTAGGAATGCAGAGCATGCCATTAAACATCTATTCCACAACCTAACAATCCATACACAAATACTAAAATCCAACAGTAACAGGACACATTAACATTAGGTATATATTTGAATGAGGAATATCATACCGAGTAAATCAAGGTCATACAGGACTATGTTAGCACATATGAAAAAGGGGAGAAAGCAGTCTCCTGCCTCATGGGTGAAAAATTCCTCCAAGATACGCAGTGTTTGATATCCATGGATACAAAATATAATTCTGAATAATAATCTGCCAGTTTCCAGAATACAACCTACACATGTTGAAAGATATTAATATTAGTATAAAACTGTATTTGGGGCTTGGTTATAAATGTGGTGACCTCCCAGCACCCATCCCTTAAACCAGATGATTTGTCAGAGGTTCTCTGTCCACACCCCTTTGATATCACAGAAAAGTGGGTGACAGGACCTCTTAAGGAAGCTCTCATTTTAACATTTTAATTACAAATTACAGGAGCATCACAAACTTGGAATGCAATTATTTCTTACAAATCGGAGGAGGTACCAATAATTGTATCCAATCAATTTTTTGGAGTTTTGCGTGGAATGTGTCAGATTTGGCTTTTTGTTTCTCCACTTTTTTGTGTCATATCAATATAAACAAAATAAATAAACATGAGAATGCCTAAAGATTAGTAATTGAAACACTTTTCTAAGCGAAGTGGTACATTATCTAAAAGAAATTCAGGGTTGCCAATATTTTTGGCCATGACTGTATTTGACTTTACATACACTTTAGAGAAGAGGAACCTAAGCACTTGAACGATTTCAGGTTCATAACTATATATGGCTACTCAAACATACGCACGCATGCATGTACATACACACTTTCTACTGACACATATTTTATGCCAGTTTGCTGCAATATCTGCAATTTGGTAACCCCAATTTCACAGTACCATGGGGAGAGTACTAGAAAACCAAACATTTTCTGTAATTGTTATATTCGGCAATTTGAATTACCTTCTTGGCTACCCTTAATTCTTGTGCAAGTAACTAGAACAGACTGAAGTGTGGTCCAGAGATACAGATATAGATATAGACATAGTACACTGTGTACTTTAAAAAGATCCCATTTTAGTCTGCTTTAAGACAAGAGCTCAGCTGGAAATAGGATGGAATGCCAAACACAATGCAAACATTAATCTTTGTACTGGGAAAATGTTTTATTAACCTAATTCACCTTGGCACAATGTGAAGCTCTACTTGTACACTGGTGAAGCTGAAAGCAAAAGTCAGAGGGATTCTCCCACGCACACAATCTCTTCCAAGAGCTGCATGTGGGTGTAGAGTGCAATGCAAAGTTATTATTCAGTGCTGTGACAATGCAGCCCTACTGCTAGCAGTGCCTGTGGTTTAGGTTACTGTGGGAGTAGCCTATAATTCTGAATGTCATGCAAGAGGATTACAAATGAACTTTACCTTGAACTCTGTTTCGTTCACTGGAGCCTGCTTGAGACCCAGGCTGTGATCCGCCTTGTGAGCTAGGCTGAGAGCTGGGGGTGCTGGAACTGGAGGAGCTGCCACTGCTAGTCCTTTGGATTGGATTTTCTATGACTGTCTCTGTTCTCCGCAGATCAGGGTTACTAAAAATGCAATAGTCAAATATTCAAAATATGTACAAAAAGCATTCATAATTTTTAAACCTAGTCCAAATAATGGATTTACAGCTTTTGAAGATAATAAACCTGTAAAGGTAACCACAGGAGCAACCTAGAGCTAGATAGCAAAGCCCAAGCCTAATTGTTATGAGCTTCCAGCATTAAACATGTTCATGGAAAAGAGCACATCGCGCTATTTGAAGCCTCAGATATGGGGTCAAAGAGTACTCGCTTTATTAGATTGTAGGCATAACTATAGTCCTCTTTTGGTAGGAGCATTGTGCAATGCACTGTTTGTCTCATGTAAGAGTCCACTTAATCAGACCTACAGTAGAAGTGGAAATAAGAAATAAACTGCTGAGAACTCTATTCTTGAAATTTTTTTTTTTTCCCAGATGCAATTCACAGGTTACACATACAGTACATTGATAGCCTAAAAATGGCAAATTAATACTTGAATACTCTCATACTGTTCTGTTCATCAACCATACTTATTATTATCAGGCAAGAGATGCAATGTTGCTTGTATACATATAGGGACATTAAAGTGGTATTGAACCCAAAGGCAAACATTTATTATATTCCAGCTCGCCAATTGTTAGATGTGATGTAATGGCTGCAGTAGTTTCGTTTTCCTTTTTAGGATTTTTTTCCATTTATATTCACCTAATGATGAAGCCAGTAAGCCTGTTGTTTTTCAAAAGAACATGCTATCCTGCAGATGTAGCAGTTTAATGGGTGGCAACAAACCATTTACCACTGACAGGGGTGCTAACAATGATCAGCTTTTATTTATATAACACCATTATGCCAAAAGGATAAACTGCTTATAAATTATTGGCTAAAGTTTGGCTTCAATTTGTTTGATGTATCTAAATCTGCTAGTGCATCTAACACTACCCTCCCTCCAGACTGACAATGTTGCTGGGCTCCTTCATTCAGTGTAGACAGTCTAATACAAGGGATGTTTTACTGGCCAGATCACCAGGTGAAAACAGAGGGGAAAAAAGCATAAAAAAGAAAGCTAATGTGGTCACCCCATCTAATGATTGGTAAGCTGCAATATCTTACATTTTTGGTTTGGGATTTAATATCACTTTAAAATAGTACATTTAATAAGACAGGATATTTTGAGGTATGCAGTGATATCATCACTCATCTAAAGCATAGGAAACGGAAAACAGAAACATTATCCATCCAGATTGCTGTTGTATCCAAATGAAATGTTCATACAAAGAATAGCACAATTACAGCTGATAACACTGTAGGCCAGGGGTACTGAATTAAATTCATGGAGGTCTAGTTGGTAACATTTTCTTCTGGCAGAGGTCTGAATCTTATTTTTCTTCTATTACTCAGGTCTTTGAAATCACAGCTCCTAATTAATGTCCTCAGCCCCCCCCTTTCCCATCACAGCCCCCTATACATCACAACTCCCTTTCACGTTAGAGCCCCCCCCAACATTATAGCCCCACGTACATCACAGCCCCCCTTCACATCACAGTCGCTCCTTGACATCACAGTCCCTCCTTGACATTACGGTCCCCTTTGCAATCAAAACCCCCATATCACAGTTTCCCACCCGCTGACATCACAGACCCTCAGCTCCCTTCTCTCACATCACAGTTCCCCCATATCACAGCTCTCCTCACATCACAGCCCCCCCAGTATTACAGCTCCCCCCTCTCACATCACAACTCCCCCCCAATCACAGCGCCCCATTTCACAGCTCCCCCCACCCTCACTTCACAGCCCCCCATATCACAGCTCCCCCCTCTCAATTCACAGCCCCCCATATCACAGCTCCACCCTCAAAGCGCCCCCATTTCATAGCCCCCCCACATCACAGCTCCCCCCTTTCACTTCACAGCCCCCCATATCACAGCTCCTCCCTATCACAGCTTCCCCCTCTCACAGCCCCCCCACATCACAGCTCACCTACCTCACAGCTCCCCCATATCACAGTTCTCCCTCTCACAGCCCAACCCATATCACAGATCTCCCTCTAACATCACAGCCCAACCCATATCACAGATCCCTCCTCTGACATCACAACCCCCCCCCCCCCCATATTCTTCCCCCTTCCTTAACTCAGCATTGTGGAGGGCAGGAGGAATGGCAGGGCAGACTCCTGTTCTGCATGTACTTGCAGGTGCCGCCATCGTCACCACAGTTGTTGAAGTCACAGCAGGGAAGCGGGCGGGAGGAATGGAAGGAAGGACTCCTCTTCTGAATGTAACGACTTGCCGCCATCGAGTTCAGAGCAGGGAGGAGGGCAGAAAGCCCAGAAGATCTCCACTGAGCGCATGAGTTGCCCAACTCTTCTTGTTAAAAGGGGAGTGACCCAACTGTTATATGAAAGATTGGCTCCCCTCCCCCGCTCCCCCTGCAGTGTCTCCCGCTCCCCTCCCTGCTCTGAGTTCAGTGGTGGCGACAGCAAGCCGTTACATTCAAAAGAGGAGTCCTTCCTTCCATTCCTCCCGCCCTCTTCCCTGCTGTGACTTTCAACAGCAGCGGCAACTACAGCGGTGGCAGGCAAGTACATACAGAATAGGAGTCCACCCTGCCATTTATCCAGATTTCAAACAGCTGCAGCGGCGGGAGGAGTCCACTCAGGCTGCTAAGTGGTGTGATCATGGTCTGGACAGGACTGTCACCCGGTCCGTATTCAGCACGCGGTCCGGCATTTGGTGATGCCTGCTATAGGACTATATTAATCACAGTCAATTGATAATAAATGCTCTCATAACCATTTTATCAGTACTTACCAAAGATTTAAGATAAGAAAAAAACAACCATATTACTAACATGAAATACATCTATTTATATGTCACCTGTGACATGTAGTATTGGTGTCTTTAGTCAAGTGGGATTCTAAAGTAAGGGCTAGAAGACAATCAAGTGTAGTTCATGGCAATGTGGTCAATGGGACAGCCAAGCATGTTGGTGAAAAAGTGAAAAAGTGTGTCAACATAACTATCCCCACTCTTGTTGTTGTACTTATAAAGTATTTTTTAATAGTAGTGCAAAGTCATACATGTCTAATAAAGTCAACTTATATTGGCAAAAAATAGCGATTATATTATCAGGCTAACTATGGGATCTCCAAAACCTATCAAGCTGGGTGAACCAGCTCGGCATGAAGTGGTTAAAAATGTATATATATATATATATTAATTATGATAACAAATGTATCATCTACACTTATTCAAACTTGTTTTAGAATATCCACTTCCAGAGAAAACCAGACTCCTTTGAAGATGTAATTCAGTGACTGTGAATTCTTTTAGTTAATTTGCCAGGATATACATGGAAACTTCATAGGACCTCAGTATAACCAGGTTATACTGTATATTTAATGTGAATTAAAACAGTCTTACGTTTATTAAAGGTGTTTTACCTTGCTCTTATGGGCTGTGTGCTTAGTCGATTTCCCAGACTGCTGCCATTGGCAGGGCAATTTTTACGTGCCAGTGCAGGGGAAATGGAAGTGGTCCTTTGAGGCACCTGCAATGGAAATATAAAGGAATATTGTTATTACTTTGTTGAGAATTAAACATTGTTTTAGTAACAGAGATGGAATTCACTTAGAAATATGGCATTGTAGCAAAGTACATTAATGTATCCTGCATAGTAACAAAAATTTGGTCTTAAAACCTTCTGAAAACTAGGAAAAATAAGTCACGAACTGTGATGGCTGGCACCCAGGTTGTCCTTGTGCAAGAGAGGCCAGTCTTGAGCGGAGCTATGGATGTGTGTGTGTTTCTGTCATTCTGAAAGCTAAATACACTCCTACACCTTGCAGTAAGAAAAACACTTACATCAAATAGGAGCCCGAATTGGCTCAGAAATGACAAATATAACAGCGGCATTCTGAAGTAGTGCTAAGCAAGATATAACTGTGATAGACCCAACTGGGACAGGGGCTTTTGGAGGGGACTGCAGGCTAACCTCATGCCTACTGACCATGGGCCCTGGCATCTGAGTGGGCTCTATTCTTTGGGATGTGTGAGCCAGGGGGAGCTTTGGAGTAGTTTTACTTCGGACTCAAGTCCATGTCTCCCCAAAACACACACATTCTGAGAACTAGAGGACCCAAATACAGAATTGGGGTCTCTGTGCCAAAACCAGCATTGTCTGCTTCATCCCCCCTCCTAGACGCAGAGCAGAGGTTAATAAAATCAGCTAAAAACAAGCTGATGCTGAAATCTCTTGCTGTAATCTGTTTATTAAAGTGTGATATGTTTACAGTTGTGCCTCTCTTACATTGTTAATTGAACTGAGTCACCAATTGTTTCTATCTGTTGGAAAGTCCTCCTGGAGGTTCTTATATGATGAGATTACAGCTTTACCTCATTATGTAATCAGTGTGTGATGTTTATCCCAATGTGTAATATTTCTTTTTATTGTTCATGTGGGGACTGTCCCTATTTCTGAACTGTAAAAAAACCTGTATTTCTGTTCTATAAACAGTTCCGGTTTTTGCACCTAAGCTAGTGTCACCTAGTCTTGGGTGCAATGACCAGCTATAATACCTTGGTCTTGTGTCTCAGCAGCAAGGAATCAGTTCTCTGATGGAATCACCCAATCAGGGCGACAGGCAGTCCATCACAGTAACACTGCCTGTTTTTTTTTTAAATATAGACCACTAAAAATTAATCTGGACTGTGGGAAGGGTCTTCACTTAACTTGGGGCTCAGAATAAAACTGGGTCATTGCCGGACAATCATTGATGTCTACCTAGTTTTCAGCTGTCTGTATATGATAGATTTTGTTTTTCTACACATAGATGCGTTTATATTGTGGCTAAGACCATCCATAGATATGTTTTTTTGTTTTGTTCAACCAGTGGGTTGAACAAAAAATAAAACAACCCAAGTCCCCCATCCACACAATTGAAATTGATGTGGGAATCACTGTCGTTGAGTTATTGTGTCTTCAAAGCCAACAGAATACACTGATCAGTGTCATTAGACTGACTTCTGTACAACCAGCCTGCTCATACATGGATCGAAGTCTTCCAAAGTTAAAACTATGTACCTTTCTAGATTGGAATTTGTGACAAGATTTACATTGATTTACCAAAACTGAAGCAGACAGTATTTGAAGCTGCTGTACATGGCAACTGATCAGCTTCAGTCTTCAGCATTTCAGTTAAGCTTTTAAAATGAAAGACAAGTACATCTGCAGCACACTCTGTCTGTCCCAGTTTTGATAAATTCCCTTATTGTGTGTTGATAGGTAGTACAGGAGAGAGTCTGCCCTGAAATAATAATTCTTATAAAGTGCATCTGCTGGGAGAGTGCAATAGCTAAGTAATCCTTGGGGGAAGGGGGGTTGAGTACTGGTATATTTCTTGATACAAATTTATTGGACATCGTCTTGAACCGCTAAATAACTGACATAAGTCTTAATATCCTTGGAAATATAAAATCAAAAAATGTAGTACCCAAGTACCTTTGTGATTAGAAATGATTGGAGAACATTAAAGAATGGTAATAATATTACAGGAATCAGTATAAATACAAATTAAAGCCCCAAACTGGCTTATGGACCTTTGGTGGAAGATCTTCCTCCTGGCGTAACCAAGAACTTCGGTCAAACTTTTCAATGCGAGGAGGGAGGGGAGGATTCTCAGAGGTTGGATCAGAGTTTTGCCTTGGCATCTCAGGTCGATGAGATATGATCCCTTCCTGGAATGCAGACATTCCTTTTGCAGACTGTTCATGTAATGACTGGGATGCAGATAAGGAAGGTCCAGGAGTTTTCACAGACACCAAGAGTGGAAGTTGCTACAGAGAAAATGGAACTGAATAATAAATGTTTGTAGTATACTTAGGGAAACACACAAAACAATTACTGAAAATATTTACAGGCTTTTTTATTCTCATTAAAAACCAATTACACCTGAAACTAATATTTCAGTGAGTCAGCACTTGCAGATATCAGCACTAGCATTAGTAATGGGTGAACTCAAGCTTCAGGTGGATCTCCCTGCTCTTCCTCTTTTCCCAGCATCCATTAGTGCCATGTAACTTATTCTGCCTGAAGCAAGACAAATCAATGCTCTTAGTAGATGCTAATACCAAAGAATCTCACTAAAAAAGTCTGAGAAATATAAGTAGAGTGTAGATGTATCATTCCATTGGCATCCATCCTAACATTGAAAATGTCTTTTATTAGGGAGTTTGCATTTAACATTTTAAGGGGAATTAATACCATATCTACAGTATAGCCTGGTATAATTAGCTGTAATGCACCAGGACATAGATACATTTTTGGTCCTATAGAATAGTAATGGTTAGATGTCCACAAAACTTTGGTCATATAATATAAGCTCAGAGGATTTTTGAAAATTTTGGGGAAATGTAATTCATAGAGTCCCTGTTAAGACAATGTAATGATTTAACCACTTCCCTACCGGAGCCAATTTTATTTTTCTATTTTTATGTTAAAATGCACATTTTAGGCCTGTTAATCCCCCCATCCCCAAACAGTATATATTTTCTGAATGTTTTATGTTACATGATACTTGCGTGCATTTTTATCAAACACAAATTTTCAGTCAAAAATGTAATTTTAGTGCACACAAAAAGAATATATTACCTAGATTTTGGTAAAATATAAAACATGAGGCCATGACAAGTAAACAGATACCAAACATGTCAAACCTAAAAGTGCATGTGCTCATAAAACAGCAACAATCCTCAATACCCAAAATAGTCCATAGGTGATGCCAGTTATCAGTTAAGAGTTACCTGTGAATAATAGCCCTAGAATTACTGCTCCGCATTTGCAGCAGATTTGTTGAGACTGATCAGCAAGCCACAGGCCTAGAGTATCTGAATTGTCCTGTGGACATTTTCTCATAGCTGTAAAGGAGAGGAGTCCTTCAGAAGAAGGTTGCTAAACAGCCTGTGACATGGAAGCCCTGAGTTCTGAGAAAAACAAGCAGAGGTGCCAAGACATTTTTGAACACTCTGGGGGCAGAGGATAAGCCAAAGAGCAGGGCGACAAGCTGGAAGGGATTGTCTGTCACTCTGAAGCTCAGAAAGCGCAGATGAGGTGGGTAAATGGAAACATGCAGATAGGAATCTTGGATGTCCATGGATGCCATGTATTTTGCTTGTCTCAGACAGGCAATTACTGTTCTTGCACCTTCTATGTGAAATTGTGGAATTTGAAGGAATCTGTTGTTGGATTTTAAGTCAACTACCCCAAGCTGAGGATGACTACCCCAAGCTGAGTTTTGGTACCATAAACAGGTTTGAGTAGAATACTTTGAAAGTGTCTTGTGGCAGTACTGGCATGAAATCTCCTGAGTACAAGGTCAACAACTCAGCCCCTAGCTACATCACTAACCTGGTCTCAAAATACCAACAAAATTGTTCTCTTCTTTCCTCCCAAGACCTCCTGCTCTCTACCTCTCTTGTCACCTCCTCCCACCTGCTCGCCTCCAGGATTTCTACAAAGCCGCTCCCATCCTCTGGAACTCCCTTCCCCAAATGTGTCTGACTATCTCCATCTCTGTCCACTTTTAGACGATCTCTGAAAACTCATCTCTTCAGAGAGGTCTATCCTGCCCGCACCTAACAACTGTACATGTATTTTGTCAATCAGCCCATCCCCCACAGTTATTACCTTCTGTATCTCTCGACCCTCCCTCTTAGATTGTAAGCTCTAATGAGCAGGGCCCTCTGAATCCTCCTGTATTAATTTGTATTGTAATTGTACCGTCTGCCCTTATGTTGTACTGTCTGCCCTTATGCGTAAACTGTTGGCACTATATAAATCCTGTATAGTATTAATGGTTCAGGGGATTCTGTAAATCTAGAAATCTATGAGAAAGAGGCAAACTGTAACAGATATCCGTCCATTTTTAGGAGTGAGGGTGCTTCTTCATTGTAAATAGGGCTTTGGGGGAGGGAATGGTGGACTGCGTGGGCCAAACTTTGCATGGAAAGGAAAGGCTGAACTTTGGTTTTGAGGTTGAAGCCTGGTTAGAGCATACAGGTGCTCTGCATTTAGAGGAGCTAAGGGCTCCCGAGGAGGAGGTTTTTGGGATTTTCAGTTGTGGAAGTAAAACCTTCCCTCCTGTGACTTATTTGATGAATTTGTCGAGTGCCTCATAAAACAGGGGTCTTCCTTGGAAAAACATATGTGTGAGGCACCCTTTGCAGGCAGTTGTAGCTGTCCAAGCTTTCAGCCGTAATATTCTGCAAACATGTATAGATATTAGAGCCATTTTGGAAATTTTTAGAGCCATTTTGGAAATTTGTCTCATGATATATTCTAGGGCATCCGCACAAAAAAGTATAGCATAAGATTCTGCGCATATGATCATGAACAGATACTAGAGCCACTTTGGAAACATGTCTCATGACATATTCTAGGGCAGGGGTATTGAATTAAAATTAAAATTCAAGGAGGTCCGATCACTTAAATCTTCTTCTGACCGAGATCCAAAAATAAAGGTCCCTATTAGTGTTCCCCCTTACATCCGGTTCCCTCTCCAGAGTAATTTATTACATTGGGTGCCACCATCAAACTTCCCCCATAAATCAGCTGCCACTATCAGGGTATCCCTCTATATCAGGCATTCCCATCAGAGTGCCCCCTTAAGTAATGTGTTTCCCATCAGAGTGCCCCCTTATATCAGGCATTCCCACCAGAGTGCCCCCTTACAACAGGCATTCCCATCAGCGTGCCCCCTTACAACAGGTTTTCTGCATCAGAAGGCCCCCTTACATTTGGTGTCTCCCATCAGTGTGCCCCCTTACATTAGTTTTCCCCATTCGAGTGCCCCATTATATAAGGTTCCCCCATCACGGTAACACCTTACATAGGGTGTGCCCATCAGCGTGCCCCCTTACATTAGGTGTCGCCATCAGAGTGCAACTTTACATCATGTATCCCCATCACATCAGGTGCGCCCATCAGTGTGCTCCTTTACATAAGCTGTCCCCATCAGAGTGCCCCTTTATATCAGGTATCCCCATCACATTCCCACCTTACAACAGGTATTGCAGTCAGAGTGCCCCCTTACACTCAAAGTACCCCTTTCCATCATATTTCCCCATAAGAGTGGCTTTTTCCATCGTATTCCTCATCAGAGTGCCCCTTTTAATCACATGTGCCCATCAGAGAGCCCCCTTAACATAAAAGATTTCCATCAGAGTGTCCCTTAACATAAAATGTGCCCATCAGAGTGCCCCTTAACATAAAATAAGCGGCATGCTGATGGCACATTTTATGTTAAGGGGCACTCTGATGGGCACATTTATATTAAGGGGCATTCTGATGGGAACATTTTATGGAGGACCGTCTGGTTGAACAATGCTATGTTTCTTGTGGAAGGAGGCAATGAGCTTTTCAACATTAATAAACATATTGCATGAAACTCAGTATGGCAGCAGTCTGAAGAAAAGTCTTCTGCAGCTTCCTCCAATACTGCCTCAGTATTCTCCTCATTTTCTTCTGTGTCTGGATCCTCTAGCACTGGCATATCAGTATCCGACAGTTGAGAAACAGGAGTAGGAGAGGAGGCATGGCATTTTACAGCCCTGGATATATATGGCTGTATTAAGGCTGTAATCTGTTAGAGGAAATGTGATATAGATGCAAAAAAATCAGCTTTAAATAGGCCACTTGTTGCTTGCCTGAAATTGAGCTAGAATTGGTTCCCGAGATCAGTTTTAGAACCAGATCCAGCTCCTGTGCAAAGGAGGCATTGTCATTGATGTTAAGTGTTGTGTGCAATTGTTTACCTGAAATTTTGAACTGGTTCCCTTTTACCTGGTCTCTGCTAGTTACAAGTGAGGGTATTTCCCTGTGGCACATGTTTTTTGGTGCTTTTTCTGTTCTCTTTAGAGAGGTTATCTATCACTTCCTGTCCCACTTGCATGTCAACAGGACATGAAATAAAGGGAAATAACCCCAGTGGGGACAAAGCCAAGAATAAAATCCTGTAAAACTTCTAACCTTTCACCACTCTATGCAGCCATTTTGAATAATTCTGTGCAGGGTCCAGATCTCCACATTCATGTAGTTTCTTTGCAGGTTTCTATGGTTTTGGAAATTCTAGTACAAGGAACCAAAGTAAATGTAATTCCACTGCAGATTATTTAACACACGATTTCTAAAAAGTAGAAATTCTTTCTACATTGTCTCTGACTTTTCTAAAACACTGTAATCTCAAATTACAACCAATAAAATGCCTTTTCTTCAAAGACCTTTAGGTTGAAATGCAGTATTAATTTTCCAAGGTTGAATGTTTATGCCTATGGAAAAGGGAGAGCAGGACAATGTCCCCGGGACTGGCTTGGACTGCAGAAGCTGCAGAGTGCGCAAACACATGCTATAATTTCCCAATCTAGCCATAATGCAATACATAAGGTGTTTATCTTGCATGTATGGTCAGTTTTAGAATGTTTCGCACTGACATAACAGCAGTGTTAGATCCTCTATTTCAGCTTTACAAATTAAACATTTTCTATCTACCATCAAACCACTGAGATGACACACTCTTATTTTGAGACTCTTTGCTTAGATGTCTCACTACTGCAACATACATTATCAGTTCCTTATGACCCCACCTCGTGCCTCAGAGAAAAGTTAATTTCTCTTTTTCTCAGTAAACACAAGGAGGATCTTGGCATTACTCTGCTGGCTGAACAATGTGACCATGATTTATTCTTTGCCTATAAATCCACTATCTCCAACAGATTCTAGGGGGCAAGGTGTAAATTATTGTCCAGGTGGTATAGGGTGTCATCTGATCTGCATAAGATGT